AATTTTTAAAAATGTGCAAAATAGTGAATTGTGCAAAAGTCGAGGGCTGCTTGTATCTACTTTTTCTTAACACGTTAATCGCCATGTCAGTCATATGTGTCTGACGCTAAGAAGTTCTACATGAGCCATGTCAGACATATATGTCTGACGTACGCGATTTGGTAGAAGGCCACGTCAATCACAGATGTCCGACGCAAACGATACATTTGCATTATGTTTCGAAAGCTTGGCCTATCAGGAACAAAACTTGAAAATTTCTTGGCTTACTACAAACAATAAAATAAAATAAACATAGTTATATAATGGTATATTGTTTCAGTTGAAAAAATACATTTTAATAATTTTTATTTTGATATAATTAATTACATTCATTTATTATCAGCAATCTCTTTCAATTCACTTTCACTTAGAATCTTTCGTTTTGCCATTATTTGTAGATATTTACAAATTATTATAAATATTATTTATATTTATATTAATTTATTTTATGTTCTTTATAAAGAAATAGTCACAGTAACAAGGTGTTATTCGGTAAATGCTACACATACTACTGATTCCTACACAATGCGTTCAACGCTGTGTTCAAAACAACAAGTTAATACTTGTTGTATCTTGTTTAGATGTGTCAGACATATAAGACTGACACGGCTTGTCGAGAAAAAAAGTTTTAATATAGGGCTCCAAAAGTGGTGAAAATATCCAAAAGATGGTATGCAACTTCTACAGTGCATTTAGTTTGAAGTGCACAAAGGATCACAAATTTGGCAAGATGGTCTTGGTAAACTAAAATAAGTTTATAATTTTCATCTGGGGTAGTTTGTAGATCTATTAGATCAACCTGACAGCATGAATTCATTTCACTGTGAAGTATAGGTCTGATGACAATGCCCTTTTTCAAAGTCTTCTGTTTCTTTTGGCAAGGTTGACACAGCTTCAAATATGTCATAGTAGCCTCAACTGTTACATTTTTATACTTGCGGTTACATTCCTTAAGCATCCATGACCAACATGCGTTTCTTCAAGAATGTTGAATAAGTCCTCATAACAAATGTAATACCTTATTTCTCCATCCTCCTCCTTCATAGGCGCAATTAGTTTTTCTTCGCCGCCTACAGTCAAAATGTCTTAACGCTTTATGCGCCTGTAATGAACAGCTTGTTTCTTTTTTATGTTCTTTGCAGCTTTTACTTCCTCCAAACATTTTGCGTATTTGTCCCTATTGAAATAAAAGTTATTATCTTTCTTGCCTGCAACGAGCTCATCCATTATTTCATAAAATCTCCATTTCACACTCATCTTGATTCATAAATAACTTTTACACAGTGAAATCTCAAACAAGATCAGAATTAACGTGCGTGTTTTAACGTGTCAAACGATGGAATGAGGCAAGTGAAGGCGGCAGTGCAGGAAGCGGGGACTATTTTTTCAACATTTACCATGTCTTTGAGGTAAAATCTAAGATATACCGAGTAAATGCTGGTAAAAGTTCGAAATTAACAATGATTACAGAATATTTTGGACTTTTACCACAAAGATTTGGTAAATCCTTAGGTTTTACTGGAAGATCTTAGGATTTACCATAGTTCGAGCATTTACAGTAACAAATACATAAATATCTTCAAGAACCTGAAGAAGTGACTTCGTCCAGCTCTAAAACACTAAAAAAAGACTTTTTAATACTAGAGTACAAACAAAAGAACAAAAATTTAGATTTATTATTTTTTAATACTTTAAAGATGACTAAACCCAGCTCAGTAGCAAGTGAGAGCTGTTTTCTATTTCTGGCAATTGTGTGTGCAAAAAAAGGACATGGTTGAGCAATAGATCTATAGACATTCTTTGCTTTCTAAAATCATATTTTCTTAGGAAAAATAAGAAATAAAATAATATTTTGTAGGCATGCATTGTTATTCATTTTTCTTTATGGTTTTATATGGAGTAAATTTTATAGTTTAATGTGATAATCTAGCAATTTCTTTTTTGTTTTGTTTTGTGTAGACGTCAGTCAATTTTATTTTGTTATATTTTTCAAATTTTATAAATATTAAATAAATTAAAATATTTTAAAAGTTGTAAATATTCCTTATCTCCATTTTTGTGGGGTGAAAATTCAAAAACCGGTTAAAACCAGTTTCGTAGAGAAGTTGAGATTCGAAAACCGGTTTTTTAAAAAGTCGGTTTTTGTATAAACCCTAATACTAATCCAAATAGCGGAAATTTTGTAAANCATGTAGATTTGTTATTTAATTTTTGTTAGTAACTTAAGTGACATATTTTATTTATTTTATTTTGTTTATTTATGTAATACACAAAAAGTTGTTAACACATTTCAAAAATTCAAATCAAAATAAAAATTTGAACGAATGGTTCCATTTTGGAACAATGAATGAAAACCTGAGGATGGCCTATCCAAATAAGCTGAAAACGTTTGAAATAAAGAGAAAAAACTCAGCAAATGGAATTCAGGTGTAATCTTATTATTATTACTGGTAATTATTATTTAACAATCTAAAAACCAACAATATATTATCAACAAACAAACAACAATCATTTTTGCCAACAGATGGCACTATATGTAAAGGTAGCAAGTCGTATGTAATCTATATACAGTAGACCCCCTGTAAAACAGGTTCATATAATATGGATTCGTATATAACAGCGAAAAAATTGCGATAATCTATACTAATATTATAGAGGTAATGTTTGTAAGTTTGGATGTAGCAGGTAATCTCCAAAACTACTCATCTGATTTCAAAAATTCTTTCACCAATATTTAGAATGGAACTTCAGGGTGGACATAGGCTGTATATTATTCCAGTAAACATTTATATGAATTAAAAGATATCATCTAGGTTAAGGCTTTTATGTCCAACAGATGCGCTATGAGTACAACGACCTAAGTTTGCTTTTCTGTGAGGATGAACTAAAGCAGATCATCTTCTATCTATCTATATAAATAAAAATGTAATGTTCATTTGTTCCTACCAATTTTTTTGAAATTTTGACACTATGTTGTATTCGAGTACGCATGTGTTTTTATATAATATACATGTTGAAATTCCCCCCACTGGGGGAAAATGGTTAGGATTAAGGCTTACCATAAAGAACTTGGCTTCTATTATACTATTTTAGATGATGTATTTTGCGTTTTTGATTGCGTTTTAATAGGGTACGTCAACTGAATATACACTAAAAAGGGATTTTTCGATATTTCCCCAGTGGGGGAGAGGGACAGGATTAAGGCTTACCGTGAATAATTTGGCTTCTATTGTACTATTTTAAATGCTGTTTTTTTGCATTTTTGATTGCATTTTAATAGGGTACGTCAAGAGAATGTACACTAAGAAAGGATTTTTCGAAAAATTCCCCCCATGGGGAAAGTATTATACATCTATAATAGATACATTTTGAGCCACAACAACGCGTGGCGGGATCTGCTAGTATTCATATAAACACACTAAAAGAGGCTCGTATAATACAGTAAAACGTCAGCACCGACTCGTGTTGCGACAGGATTGCTCAAATCTAGACCAATAGCAAATATTGCAGTAACCGTTGAGTTTAAATGAGCAGTGGACCTACTAAAATCCATTTATTATTTAACAGCCATAAAAATTATATTTATATTAATGATGTCTGCAAAGTTCACCAAATTTTTCACAGAAAAATAATTTACCAGGAAACACGTGCCCGCCGTTCGATGTGCCACTCCGTGATGTAAACAAGCTTAAGCAATGGTGACGTTGAATGGTGCACACTCAGTAAGTAATCCTACAATTTTTTGTTTATAGCATAGTTTATATGGATTATTCCCAAAAAATTATACGTGTTTTAGAAATGTTGAGTCAAATTAGTCTAGAATCGATTAATATTATGGAAGAAAACCTTTCAAACAGCCGTTGTCCGTAAATTGCATACGTGCCGGGCTGTGATTGGCTCACGTATTTAAGTGATCGTAAAACACGGAATTTATATAAAACAGAATGTATCTACCGTATTATGGGGGGTCTACTGTACTACCCTAATATTTTGGGGGAGTATATAGCTTAGTATCAACTCTAGGGTCTAAGTAATACACATATAAATTGTTTTCTTAAACCAATCTGGACCAAAGTTTATACCAAGGACAAACCAACAAGAATTTATTTTTTATAAATAAAAAAATATATAAACAAAACAACCTTTCAAACCTAACATATATATATTGTCATGCATAACAATAAATTATAAATAAGTCTAAAAGTTTGAATCAACAAGGACATATTTTCAAAACTTGTGGCCCAAAAAACATGATTTCTTCCAATGTGGCCCAGAGAAACAAAAAGGTTGGACACAGCTGCTAGGCCTATAGAGGTACAAATTCAAGAGAGAAGACAAACAGGATTAGTAACACTTCTTTATTTACAAAATCCACAAACTTTTGAACAAAGTTGTCTAACATATTTCTTCACTAACAGCAAAATTTGCTATTATTAAGTTATCTGGACAAATATTATCAAGGTTATATCCAAACTATTCTGTAGAAGATGACTGCGATGATGAAAAAGTGGCAAAGAAGAAAATCAAGCGATAGCTTTAACAAATGCTATGGAAAAATCAATATGTTACTGTAAAAGCCCATATATTGGTAAATCCTAGGTTTAACTTGTAAATCTTCGGTATCTAGGTTTAACTTGGTAAATGTAAGGATTTTTATAAAGTGAGATGATTTTCTGGGCTTTTACCATTAGAATTTGGTACATGCTAGGTTTTACTAAAGATGATTAGTAAATGTTGGTTTTGGACATAAAACTATGAGTATTTTAATAATCATTTATTGCAGTTATTATAAACAGTCAACTTACTAAGTCCTATTTATTAATAACTAGTGAAACAGTTTAAATATACTTTTTTAACATAANTTTTAATAATCATTTATTGCAGTTATTATAAACAGTCAACTTACTAAGTCCTATTTATTAATAACTAGTGAAACAGTTTAAATATACTTTTTTAACATAACAAAAATTAAATTATCTTGTAAAAATAATATAATAGCCTACGTTGGCTAAGCTAATCAGTAATCACAGTATTTTTTCTAATCATTTAGTATTCATTGTCATTTAATAAAAGTAAAAAAAGGATTTTACTTGTTACAACAAGGAGAGCTATCATGGCATTTAGAATTACAAAGTAATCCTGATGACTTGCAAGCACACTTCTTTGTTATGCATTTTTTTTTTAGGCAGTTGCATTTCTTGAAACCTTGTCCTCCAGTCAAAGACAATTTTGCGACAACTCAAAGACTCACTTCTTTATCTTTAACAACTTCTTCTATCTTGATAAAGTCTTCAGGGCATGAGGTAAATTGATTCTGTGTATAAAGTTGCTTTAGTACTCCAATTTTGGTACCTAGTTGGTAAAACTCATTTACATCTACTACAACTGCAAATAACGGTTTTCGGGTCGGTTTTAGCTTTGTCAATTTCAGGCACTTTCAGTCTTACATTTTGGCCAATTTTCACATTTGGATATTTATCAACAGAGGTGGCTTTCATTTTTTTCAGCTTGTTTCTCCAAACTCAATTTTGCATTGTTTCTTATAGTCACTCCAGATTTTATCTCTTTTGGTATTGGCTCAATAGTTACAAGAACTTCCTGAGACTCAATCATGTTTTCTGTCTCTGAATCGGTATCTCTCTGAATCGTTACATTGGAATCATTGCTTATTTGCTTTGCCTTCATCTTCTCAGTAATAATCATTTCGTCTTCTTGTGTTTTACCATTGACAGTACTATTGTCTATATCCCCTTCTGACTCATTTTCAACAATGCTTTCTTCCTTGTCCTGTTCGATTGCATTTTCAACGTCATTATTTTGTTCTGTATTGTCATGCGAATGCAACAACTTCTCTAAATCTTCTTCAGATCTTATAACTCAAATCATATCACTAGGGATTGCTGAAGTTGCAAGGCCCATTTTCATTGGACAACCAAGCATTGCTTTGTAGGGAGAACATTTGATTCCCTCGTGACATGCTTTTTTTTCATTGCCTGGATGAATCTTAAACCCTCTGACCACTTTGATAACTGATTGGTTTCCATCCACATGATCAACATATTTTCTTTGTTTTGATTAGCACGCTCCACTGAACCTTGACTTTGGCTATGTCTTGCCTTTCCATGTACAATTTTTACATCTGGCCACATGGAGCATAAACTCTCAATAACTTGGTTAGAGAATTCTCGACCATTATCGGAATGAAGGATGCTCGGCGCTCCAAAAGTGGTGAAAATATCCAAAAGATGGTATGCAACTTCTAGAGTGCATTTAGTTTGAAGTGCACGAAGGATCACAAATTTGGTAAGATGGTCTTGATGAACTAAAATAAGTTTATAATTTCCATCTGGGGTAGCTTGTAGATCTATTAGATCAACCTGACAGCATGAGTTCATTTCACTATGAAGTATAGGTCTGACAACAATGCCCTTTTTCAAAGTCTTCTGTTTCTTTTGGCAAGGTTAACATAGCTTCAAATATGTCATAGTAGCCTCAACTGTTACATTTTTATACTTGCGGTTACATTCCTTAAGCATCCGTAACCAACAGCAACATGCGTTTCTTCAAGAATGTTGAATAAGTCCTCGTAACAAATGTAATACCTTATTTCTCCATCCTCCTCCTTCTTAGGCGCAATTAGTTTTTCTTCGCTGCCTACAGTCAAAATGTCGTAACGCTTTATGCGCCTGTAATGAACAGCTTCTTTCTTTTTTATGTTCTTTGCAGCTTTTACTTCCTCCAAACATTTTGCGTATTTGTCCCTATTGAGATAAAAGTTATTATCTTTCTTGCCTGCAACAAGATCGTCCATTATTTCATAAAATCTCCATTTCACACTCATCTTGATTCATAAATAACTTTTACACAGTGAAATCTCAAACAAGATCAGAATTAACGTGCGTGTTTTAACGTGTCAAACGATGGAATGAGGCGAGCGAAGGCGGCAGTGCAGGAAGCGGGGACTATTTTTTCAACATTTACCATGTCTTTGAGGTAAAATCTAAGATATACCGAGTAAATGCTGGTAAAAGTTCAAAATTAACGATGATTACAGAATATGTTGGACTTTTACCACAAAGATTTGGTAAATCTTAGGTTTTACTGGAAGATCTTAGGATTTACCATAGTTTGAGCATTTACAGTAACAAATACATAAATATCTTCAAGAACCTGAAGAAGTGACTTCGTCCAACTCTAAAACACTAAAAAAAGACTTTTTAATACTAGAGTACAAACAAAAGAACAAAAATTTATATTTATTATTTTTTAATACTTTAAAGATGACTAAACCCAGCTCAGTAGCAAGTGAGAGCTGTTTTCTATTTCTGGCAATTGTGTGTGCAAAAAAAGGACATGGTTGAGCAATAGATCTATAGACATTCTTTGCTTTCTAAAATCATATTTTCTTAGGAAAAATAAGAAATAAAATAATATTTTGTAGGCATGCATTGTTATTCATTTTTCTTTATGGTTTTATATGGAGTAAATTTTATAGTTTAATGTGATAATCTAGCAATTTCTTTTTTGTTTTGTTTTGTGTAGACGTCAGTCAATTTTATTTTGTTATATTTTTCAAATTTTATAAATATTAAATAAATTAAAATATTTTAAAAGTTGTAAATATTCCTTATCTCCATTTTTGTGGGGTGAAAATTCAAAAACCGGTTAAAACCAGTTTCGTAGAGAAGTTGAGATTCGAAAACCGGTTTTTTAAAAAGTCGGTTTTTGTATAAACCCTAATACTAATCCAAATAGCAGAAATTTTGTAAAAATATTTTAAATACATACTAATAGTGACTATTTCCATTTGTAGTTAAATTTTAATTACAAAAATATTGGCTATTTAATTAGTGAATTTGCATCATGTTGTTTTGCAGTGGAACCTTGAAAAATGGGTTGTATTCTTTGTTAAGATGTGGAATTGATGCTGTTATCAAGTGTCACCAGTGAAGAATGATAACTTATTTGATCCTACTGTTAAGTTTTAGAAGTAAAAAATAGATTACATGTATTTTTTTTACATCTTGACAAGTTTTATGGATTGTCAAGTTAAAGAGAGTAGAGTTTCTGGGACTCTACCATATATTAATTAATAGTCAAAATAAGGTAGAACATTTAAAGTAAAGAATAGATCATCATTTAAGAACTGAAGTCATCACCATAAAAGGGAACCAATGCAAAATTATGGAACACAATCTTAAATGTAATACAATTATCCTTTGCATAACACTTTTTTTCCATTGAAAAACATCAAAAAAAATTTTTTTTTGATGTTTTTCAATGGAATTTTGATGTTTTTTTTCAATGAAATTTTGATGTTTTTGTATCACGGTGTGATACAAAAACATCAAAATTTTTTTGATGTTTTTGTATCACACCGTAATTTGGTTCTGAGTGCGTCATTATCATTAATTTGGTGTGGCGAGTAGTAATTCACAAACACAAATATAAGTAATACAAATGTAATGTAGATATGATTATGTGATGTGTATAGAGACAAACAAGTTATAGAATTCTGTGTGTAGCATCCTTGTAATCCAAAAAAATAATTCTTGGTAGACAACCAAACAGCAATTGGTTAAATAAACCGTAATGTTTTCCTAACCAATTGCTGTTTGGTCGTCTACCAAGAATTATTTTTTTGGATTACAAGGATGCTACACAGAATTTGAACATACAGCAACCATACCTTCTACATTAAGTTTGGAATGTTGCAAAATGGTGGTATATAAGTTAGGAAATGTCATAATAGACTTTTCATGCATTGGTGAGGCTCTCCACATTTTACAGAAGATTTGTATATTTCTAGATTTCAATACTTTTAATTTTGTGTAACTGTGAGGTTTGTCATAACATGTGTTCCCTGTAAGTGTACTTGTGTATCTTATGGCATAACAAATTCTGCTAATTAAGTAACCATCTACAAGGTAGACTAAAGATGTATTACATACACGAGATGCCCACCATTTTCAACCTACTATGTAACAGAAAAGATCCCTCTAACCCCAACAGACTACTGAGCATTTATAGCATTCCTATCAGAGACAACAGATGGGATAGGGAAATGATGTACATTGGCTCTACAAAATGTTCAATGGGGATCAGGATAAGAGAGCATAAAATCAGATATACAATATAGTAGGAGTACCACTGCACTCTTCACATATGTGACGGACCCTGATATTGCGGCAGACTTTGCCAGAGCCCAAATCATCCACACCACCCCACACGAAGAACACCTCAAATGGTTGGAAATGATCAAGATTTTTAAAGCTAGCTGTAGATCCACATGCATTAATTTCAGGGAGGCATATAGTATGGCATACTTTACTTGACAATGATATTTAACATTCAATTTTATTTAAGAATGACACAGAAATGTATGCGCATAAGTTCTTGTTGTTCGAACTCATCCTTGTACTCTTTCATTTTAAGTTCAAATTTTATGTTCTGGTCATTTATCAGCAACATTGGTTAATGTTTGATTTTATTTAAACATATCACAGAAATGCATGCACATAAAGGTCACGTTATTGGAAATCTTCTTCTCACTATTTGATTATATTCAAATTTTATATTCATGTTCATTTAGAAGATCCAGCTGGTTTAGAATTGAAAGAAGCCCGAGGAAGAACCCAAAAGGTGTTATGAAAACATTCGATATTCAAGAGTTAATCTTAATTCACACCGGTTAATAATTGAAGTGAATCTAATTTCACATACATCATTTTCATTTTATATGCAACAATAATCCTCTAAAATCACTCAAACTGAAATTGTTTATTTACTGTATTTACAAAATAAATACAGTCGACCTCCCTATAATTATGGTCCCAAAAATTACGATTCCTATAAAACTGCGAAAAAATTGTGACCGGTATCCGTAAAAAACAGTACAAAACCCCCTATAATTACATTAAATGTCATCGGGCAGCCGAACTACTTTCCCGCCGTCCGTAGCGCCACGCTACAGAGAGATTTCTATCATCTGGACAGTATTATATAAATTATATATAAATTAGGTACTGTACATATAATTATATATTAACTTATTGTAACTTTGTTATAATTAAATATATAATTTCTGCCGTCTAGCGTGGCGCCACGCTACGAAATA